TGCTGCTGCTGCTGCTGCTGTTGCTGCTGCTGCTGCTGCTGCTGCTGCTGCTGCTGCTGCTGCTGCTGTCGATGGTATCTTGGATTCTACAAAGCCATCAGCAGCATTTTTTTTGCTGCAATTTCTCCTCATTCCCCTCTTCTTCTCCCACCTCTCCTGCTGCTGCTGCTGCTGCTGCTGCTGCTGCTGCTGCTGCTGCTGCTGCTGCTGCTGCTGTTGCAGTTGCTGCTGCTGTACGAGCTCTCCTGCTGCAGCTGGGATTTGGTTTTTTATAAATTTTTTCGTTTCAGCAAAAACTTCTGCAGCGATGGAGCACATAAATTTAACGAAATAAAAAGAATAAGAGGAGCTGCTACTGGGCTTGTTAGATATGCTTAGTTATTTATATTTATTTATTTATATTTATATTTATTTATATTTATATTTATTTATTTTTATTTTATTTTATTTGGTTTGGGGTTTATATTGATGTATTTATGTTTATATTAACGAAATAAAAAGAATAAGAGGAGCTGCTACTGGGCTTGTTAGATATGCTTAATAAAATATTTATATTTATTTATATTTATATTTATTTATATTTATATTTATTTATATTTATTTATTTATATTTATTTATTTATATTATTATATTTACGTTTGTGTTTATATTGATGTATTTATGTTTATATTAATAAAATTAAAAAAAGAAGGAGCGGCTACCGGGCTTGTTAGATATACATAATAAAATAAAATAAAATAAATATAAATAAATAAATAAATATATATATATAAATATATATTTATATATATATTTATATATATATTTATATATTTATATATTTATGTTTATATTGCTGTAAGTATAATTATATTAATTAAATTAATAAAAGAGAAGGAGCTGCTGCGGGGCATGTTAGATATGTTTATTTATTTATATTTATATTTATTTATTTATATTTATATTTATCTTTATTTATTTATATCTATATTTATATTTATATTTATATTTATATTTATGTTTATATTTATTATATTTATATTTATTTA